TCTGGGTAACCACAAGAGGAGACGAGACTTCAATCGGGATAAATTAGAAGGTCCAGAATGCATAAGAACAAGAAGAGGAGTGAACGATAGCAAGGAAAAATCCATGGCTGGCAGGGAAAGATAGTAAGAGGTGTAATTTAAGTGAAATGACAAAGTCTGCATCTCAGCAAGTTGCAGTACCACCTGCAAAACGTGTGGGAAGCCTTGTCAGTGCTGGGTGCCTCCTTCAGAGCAATACGCCAGCGCTGGTTTGGCCACTGCAAGCAGTGCGTGTGTACAGTGGCCCAGCTCCTGTTGCTGGCCCTGCCTTGTGATCTCTTTCTCCTGCTTTAGCAGATGTTTCCATTCACGCAGGTCCCTGGCTCGCGTTGCTCATTGCTGCTTTGCACCATCCTCACCGCAGTGTGTACAGCTGCTTCTGCCTTGCGAGTTTACTGCGTTCTGTTTCAGTGGCATCTTGGGGCGAATTGAAACCTTTAGGTCGGTCCCTTGGGTTGCAGGTGCTATTTTCATTTTCCTCTTCTCTATAGAAGACTGTGGGCACTTTGGCTGAATGTGAGCGCGCTGAACGTGGCTGCTGTCCTGCAGCAGGGGCAGGGCAGGCTGCAGCCTGGTACACAAGCGGTCTTTGCTTGTGAAGAGAGTGAATCTTTAATAACTCCAATCATGCATGAGATGTTAGACTTCTAGCATATGACCACAATGCTATAGTCCCTAATCTGCACCTTACTATCAGGTTCTGTGTGTCTTTGTGACCCGTCAGACATGTTCATCATAATTTTCTTTAGCTATTACTCCTGTCTCACCCTTTTTTCCTTTAAAAGAGAGGTGGAAAAAATGTTATGTCCTCGTGTTACTGCCCATGGTCATCTCTATAAATTCTTGCTCTCTTCTTCTCTCAAAGTGTGGGGGTTTTGGCTTGTTGTTTCTGGAAATCCAGAACTCCTGATTTGAGTATTTCTATGCATTTGCTGTGTGTGAGAAGCTGAACTGCCCTGACTTGGCAATCGCTCCCTTTCACACTCTGTGTCTTTCCAGCGAGCCGTTTGAATACATGGCACGCGGTGACTTCTTGGGTCCCTTCCAAGCGATCCCCTCTGACACAGACGTGCCTCTCTGCATCCCAGATTGCTGCACAGCTCACCCTGTTTAGGGGCAACAGTGCTCCTTGGAGTCCTCCTTACAATCGTGGTGTGAATTTGCTGCTAGCTGCCTCTGGCAACACTGGGATCTGTCCTGTGCTGGAGCTGGTGGCGGTCTTCTGCAAACTACCAAACAGCAATTAAACCAACCACCAAAGAGGTTTTTCTGATCAATGGGTGGCAACAGAAATGCATCTCTGCTTTGGTCAGTGCACGGCAGCGTTAGCCTCTTGCAAAGGGGAGCGAATGAACAGCTACACTTCCCTTGTGCTTCTGTAGCAACACGCTGTAGTCTCCTTGTAGCGCTCTGTTGGCAGGGGGATCCTATCGTGTAGCGCATGCGTTAGAGTTTTTTCAGTGTGATTTACAAAACACACGTGATCAAAGCCACGTGGATGGCAGCACAGAAGGATCACACTGCTGTTTAATGAGAGCCCTGCCGTGGGCAGTAAGTTGCTGCTTCGTGTTTCCTTGCTTGGGTCCCAGTCAAGACTTACCTGTCCTTAACGTGAGCATTTCCTATCTTCCCCAAGCATGTAAATTGCTGGGTTTCCACCTTAATTTATTCAGGTACTGTACCTGGCACCAAGTGCCGTTTTTGGCAGCCAAAACAGGTCACCAGTTTCCTGCTCCTTTAAGTCGCCAAAGCAGGAGCTGAACACCATGTCCCCACGTCCCACCTGAACAAACCAGAACCCTGGCTTGCTTTGTGTAAGATCTGTCTGGGACCTCCCTTCCGCTGCAGCGTATCCCGCTGTACCCACCCAGTCCTGCCTCCGTGAGCTCTCCAGCCTGACCCCGCAGTGCCAGCGAGCGTGGCCCTTGTTGGAGGAGATGCCTTTGCGCCGCCCGTGTGCTTCACACCCCAGTAAGCTGCCTGTGGCTGTATTAGCAAACGGTGTCTGTCCCTGCTGGCAAGCGTAACAGCAGCACATCTGTAGATACAGCAGTATTCAGGGATCATAGAATCATTAAGGTTGGACAAGACCTCAAGGATCATCAAGTCCAACCGTCAACCCAACACCACCCAACCCACTAACCCATGTCCCCAAGCACCACATCTACACGTTTCTTGACCCCCTCCAGGGATGGTGACTCCACCACTGCCCTGGGCAGCCTGTTCCAATGCCTCATCACTCTTGCAGTGAAGAAATTTTTTCTAATATCCAGCTGAAACCTTCCCTGGTGCAACTTGGATGGTATTAAGTAAATAGAGTGCTGAGGATTTGGCACCCCCTCTGTGTGCATTTTGGGGAAGGGATGGCTCTAGGGGATTAGCTCCAGCTGTGCCCTGTGGTGCCTGTTTGCAGGTGCAGTGTCCTGGATGTGCTCCAGAAGTGCATCTTCAAGTGTAGCTTTGCCCAAAAAGAATGCATTTCATGAACGTCAGTGCGGATCGAAGCACAGAAGTTGCCAGTGACAGAGCATCTCTTCAAAAGCATGCTCCTGAGCGGAACCGAAAGGCTGGGGTAGGTGTAGGGGTGCCCAGACTGCCAGGCTAACGAGGGCACCAGCCCCTCCAGACCTCTGCTGCGTACCGTTTGGGGAAAATCCACAGCTCACTAGCAGTGGCAGTATCACAGTTTGGGAATTTTACTTGAAACAGCATTATAGTGTGCTAAGATACTGGGCACTGAACAGCTGATAATGGAGGGAGATGAGAAATGCACCATCAGTAAAATATTACCTGTTTCATGTAGACAGCTTTCCAAGTGTAATTATCAACAGCGAATCCTCATCTACAGGATTTCTGTGAGCAATATTTGATGTCTTTTATTAAAGTTCTGGAATAAAGGTAAATAAAAGTAGTTGCTAATAAAACTGGCATATGGCCCAAAATATCACATTGTGAGGACAAATCGCCTTGAAGAAATATAATGATCCATTTGAAAAGCTTTAGAAAAGAGTTGTAAGAGTAACTCTCAAGATCATAAAACCAAAACACATTGAAGCAACAGACAGAAGGAACTGGTCTATTGAGCTCATTAAGGAGAATTTAGAAAACATCCTCATCAAGATCTGTAATGATTAAATGGTGAGAAGCTGGAGATAAGAAAAAAAATACTGAATCTAAAACTGCACAAACTCAGACAATAGGTAAGACGTAGATGTTAGCAGCGACAGGGCTTAATCACTGGAACAATTTGCTGGGCATTCTAGAGGATTTTCTATGGCTTGAAATCTGGACAACGTGCTGTCTCTGCACCAGAAGCGCTGGGCTCGTGGCAGGGCTCGCAGGTGGAGGTACTGCAGGAAGCATTATTACCTAAGTGGTACTTACTTTCTGAACATAATATCCGTGAAGCCTACATCCAGGGTTCTTACCATTACAGCCTCAGTACCAATTACAGATGACGGCTTTCTCTGCTGGCTTTTGTCAGTAGCGGTGATGATTTTCACTAACCCAAGCACCCTTCTGGGATGTGTTAAGCACTCACTCGTTAGAGGAACCCTTTGAAAATGTCACATTGAAGAGCTAAGTTGATATGGGGACTTGGGCACCTAACCATCATTTTAGGCAGCATGGTTCAAAATGTTTAGCTGTACAAGTTCTCTTCTAATCCCACAGGTGTGTAACCCCCACGGGTAAATCCTTACTCGTACATTCCTTCTCTGGGTAGGGGCAAGGCAATCACCCGCAACAGGGTGACTGTCCGCCTCGGAGGCTGAGCCTCGTGTGAGTGTTCAGCAACCCCAGCTGGTGAAGGCACATCAGCCGTGCTGCTGAA